CCTTATAAACTTAAATTTTAACAGAATGAGAGGGAGGGAATTTCACCCAGTAATTCCGCCTTTACACATCACTAATCATCAACGTGAGTACCTTATGGAATTACAACCTTTATTATATAAATCATTGTTAGGAAATAATTATTTCTAACAGTCTCCCACTGATTCATATGAGCATGACACCTTAATTATATGAATCAAAGTTAGGAATAAATTATTTCTAACAGGAGAAAGAAGAATTATTTTCTTCAAACATGTATTCTCTACTCGGTAGTTGCAGAAAGAGACGGAGTACATTGGTTATAGTCGTAAAACCTGGTGGAGTTCAAGGTTGGTTTGGGGTTCAAAACTTGAATGTCCAATATTGTACTAAGGGATATTGCAATCTTCCTATAAGTTCCAAGTAGAACTATAAAATTCATCTCTCTCTCTTTTACTTTATATACTTACTGCTTTCATTTCATATAATCACAAGCAAACGTAATATTACAAGAACAAACTTTCGTGCAAATAAGATTAAAAAGAGTTTATATAATTTCTGTTGTGCATACCCTCGAAACGTTAAGGTCACATCTCGGGTAATTAAATGAATTGTAGAAGTTTTTAAATCTATAAAAGTCTAGTCACCCTCCCCCCTAGAGTTATACCCTAATCCCACCGGGACCAACAACATAAATCAGAGTCGCCGCAAAAGAAAAAAAAGGAAGATCAATCCAAAAATTAGGAGAAGGCAGCCAGAGCCGCCTACAAGAAACATAAGCAAGAGGAAGAGAAAACAGTCATGGCCACCCAGATATGGATTTAGAAAAACAATGTATTTCAATTTTTTTTTTATAAAAAGCAAAATCAATTTTTAGAAAAATAATTAACAAAACAATAATTAAAAAAAAAAAATGAGCCACGTGTCAACATTAGAAAGCACCAACCAACCAAACAGGTAAAATAGGACTCAATTGAATATTTTAACCAGTGTAGGAGATCTATATTGAACTTCATTAACATAAGGACTTAATTGCACTATTGTTTGACTTAGGGCGATGGATTTGACCATTTTCCCCTTTTTTTTTTAATTAGTTGTTGGGCAAATGCATTTGGCTTATTTGTACGTGTAGATATATTTTCGATATTTAGATTTGAGTCAAGGAAGGAAGGAACAAAATATTCTGGGTCAAAAATTGTAAGAAAATCCATTGTAGTTTAGTGGGTTAGGATACTCGGCTCTCAATTGAGAGACTTGAGTACAATTCCCGGCAATAAAATTGTTTTTTTATAGTCGACTAAGTATTTCTCAAGGTACCTCTGGCTAGACGCTACTCATGGCCTCAATAGATCCGACAACGTTTCATTCATTTTTTCTCCATTTCTTTTGTTTTATATAAAATTTATTCTACATTTCTTGTTTCGTCCGAAGGCCAAATTCAAGCTTTGCGTTACCTCGCCAATGGGTGTTTAACCTTCCAAAAATTATATTTCTTTATTATTTTTCATTTTACTGATGCCACCGGTATTAGTCTATAGTAAAATAATTTTTAAAACTTTTGTCAATAAAATTAGTGATGCAAGTCATGTCAATATATTTTATTGACACGATTTGAGTTTGTCACGAGTCAAATAATTTACTTATAATTTATCAAATACATTTGACTTATTTATACACATATAACTACCCTCTTCCAAGGCTGAAGAATGTGCTGTTCAATTAAAAAAAATTCTAAGTATACATTGCTTTCAATTGTTTTCACATCTAGTGACCAGTGAGAAAGGGAGACAAAAGCTTTTAAATTTAAATCCATATTTCAAAAGACTTTTGCTGCTTATCCAAGAAGATCAAGATCCACAAGCCAAGATCTCTTTGTTGAAGAAAGAAGAATTATTTTCTTCAAACTTGTATTCTCTACCTGGTAGTTGTAGAAAGAGACGGAGTACATTGGTTATAGTCATAAAACCTGGTGGAGTTCAAGGCTGGTTTGGTGTTCAAAACTTGAACGTCCAATATTGTACTAAGGGATATTGCAATCTTCCTCGGAGTTCCAAGGAGAAGAGTAGAGTAGACTGTGTTGGCTGAACTACTATAAAATTCATCTCTCTCTTTTACTTTATATACTTACTGCTTTCATTGCATATAATCACAAGCAAACGTAATATTCTCAACAACAAACTTTCGTGCAAATAAGTTTAAAAAGAGTTTATATAATTTTTGTTGTGCATACCCTCGAAACGTTAAGGTCACATCTCGGGTACTTAAATGAACTGTAAAAGTTTTAAAATCTATACAAGTCTATTCACCGCTCCCCCCTAGAGTTATACTCGAATCCCACCGGGATCAACAACATAAATCAGAGTCGCCGCAAAAGAAAAAAGAGAAAGATAAATCTAAAAATTAGGAGAAGACAGCCAGAGCCGCCTACAAGAAGCACAAACAAGACGTAGAAAAACGGTCATGGCCACCCAGATGTGGATTAATAAAAGCAATGTATTTCATATTTAAAAAAGAAAAAAGAAAAAAGAAAAAAGAAAAATCTATAATTAGAAAAATAATTAACAAAACAATAATTAAAAAATGAGCCACGTGTCAACATTAGAAAGCACCAGCCAACCAAACAGGTAAATTAGGACTCAATTGAATATTTTAACCAGTGTAGGAGATTTATATAGAACTTCATTAACTTAAAGACTTAATTGCACTATTGTTTGATTAAGGGTGACCGATTTGACCATTTTTCCCTATTTTTTAATTAGTTGTTGGGCAAATGCATTTGGCTTATTTGTACGTGTAGATATATTTTTGGTATTCAGATTTGAGTCAAGAAAGGAAGGAACAAAATAATGTGCAATCTTCATATGAGTTCCAAGGAGAAGAGTAGAGTAGACTGTGTTGGCTGAACCACTATAAAATTCATCTTTCTCTCTTTTACTTTATATACGTACTGCTTTCATTGCATATAATCACATGCAAACTTAATATTCTTGAGAACAAACTTCCGTGCAAATATGATTAAAAAGAGGTTATATATTTTCCGTTGTGCATACCCTCGAAACGTTAAAGTCACGTCTCGGGTACTTAAATGAACTACAAAAGTTTTTAAATCTATACAAGTCTATGCACCCCCCCCCCCCCCACTAGACTTATACCCTAATCCCATCGGGACCAACAACATAAATCAGAGTCACCGCTAAAGAAAAAAGAGGAAGATCAATCCAAAAATTAAGAGAAGACAGCCAGAGCAGCCTACACGAAGCACAGACTAGATCAGAGGAAGAGAAAACGGTCATCGCCACCCAGATATGGATTAAGAAAAATAATGTATTTCAAATTTTTTTTTAAAAGAAAAATCTATTTTTAGAAAAATAATTAACAAAACTATAATTAAAAAATGAGCCACGTGTCAACATTAGAAAGCACCAGCCAACCAAACAGGTAATTTAGGACCCAATTGAATATTTTAACCGGTGTAGGAGATTTATATAGAACTTCTTTAACTTAAGGACTTAATTGCACTATTGTTTGACTTAGGGTGACCGATTTGATCATTTTCCCTTTTTTTTATTAGTTGTTGGGCAAACGCATTTGGCTTATATGTTTTTCTATGGAGCACACAAATCAATATCTTTTATAACAATACATCTTTATTATTCTTACACTTTTGAAGCTCTTTTAGTTTTGTTTTGTGATCCAATCTCTATATTTTAAATTGAGTTAATACCCAAAATCGTCCTCGACTATAGTGGTTTTTCTCAATTTCGTCCTAAACGACTTTGGTGACCTAATATCGTCCTAGACTTTTGTATTTCGCTCAATTTAGTCCCAGACTTTTGTGTTTTTGCTCAATTTAGTCCTTCATTTGTTATTCTGTCCATTTAGTGTTAAATAAATAGACAATTCAGTAATTTTAATATTGACATCTCTTTACTCATAGACATGTGAACTGCGAAATCTTTTTTTTTTTTACGAATTACTCCCAGAATTACTCCTAAAACTGCGAATATAAAATTTGATTTGCAGGTCCGAGAGTAATTCTGGGTGTAATTCGTACAAGAAAGAGGAATTTCACACTTCACAAGTTGAAAGTAAAGAGAGATCAATATTGACATACTGAATTGTCCATTTATTTAACACCAATTTGATGGAATAACAAATGGAGGACTAAATTGAGCGAAACACAAAAGTCTAGGACGATATTAGGTCACCAAAGTCGTTTAGGACGAAATTGAGAAAAACCACTATAGTCAAGGACGATTTTGAGTATTAACTCATTTTAAATTAGTTCACGAATTTATCTTAGTATGAGATAATCAATATGTTGGTCTTATCTTATGCAAATATTGATATTGTTTTCTGTGGAGCACACAAATCAATATCTTTTATAACAATACATCTTTATTATTCTTACAGGTTTGAAGCTCTTTTGGTTTTATTTTATGATCCAATCTCTATATTTTTAATTAGTTCACGAATTTATCTTAGTATGAGATAATCTAGTTCAATATCTTGCTGTCCCTTAAATAATAACCTTTTGTAAATTCAATTATTAAGAAATTAGGTTTTACAAATGTGCCTATTTATTATAAAATTATTTTCTTTCAAAAAAAATAAAATTATTGACATTGTATTCCATGATGGAACACGTAATATATATCCTCTATAGTAATATGTCTTTATTTACACGAAATTAATATTATATGTTTTGTATGAAAACGCCTTGAGGGTTAATTATTTTTATATGCATATAGGATTCATTATTTGAATGTGTACAAACTAATTGAAATTCTAAATTCATTTTTATTGTACATGAAATTCATTATTTATTAAATATCTTATTTCTTTGTAAGTTCTCTATTTGTGTGAATATGTTTTGATGACCATGGTCCACAATAAAATTTGCCAACTTCATATACACGTTGCTATCTTTAATAGGAGAATCCTAAAACAAATGAAATTAGAAAGTGATTCTATGCTAAGTGTGAGTACATTTTAATTCGAAAATTGATTAACGGTTAGCTACAATAAATTCTGGGCAGATTTATAAGCAAAAGTTTGGAATTTGCCATGTCAAACTATATTGAGTGCCCCCATGAAAGTCTAGAAACTAGTCACTGAAAATGAAGGAACAGTAAAGCATATCTTGCTCAGATAGTCAGATAGCATTGATGTTTTGCACTCTTTTTATGACTTAAGATTTTGCTGTTTTGCATAACACATTTATTTTGCCATGACTACATGGAAGCAAGAATTCAACAAGTCAGAGCTCCAGTCCACTTCAGCTCTAGTGAGTTCCTTCTTCCTTGCTCTGATAAAAAGTACTAGGTGAGACAAAATTGGTCAAGAACAATGAAACATTAAGTAAATGCGGCAGCATACTATTGAATTGACTATGGCAACGAAGGCAAGTCAAATTACGGATCAGACAACATTCATGAAACAATTGAAGCATGTGTTCCATCTCAACTAAAAACTAAAAACTGATAGTTCGATTGCACATTAATGTTTATATATTAACACACGTGGACCATAGTCTCTTTTTTATTGGGTGATGCGGAGATTCGAACCCGAGATTCGAACTCTGATACAAAATTGAAGCATGTGCTCCATCTCAACTAAAAGCCTAAGTTGATAGGTGGATTGCAAATTCTTATATATTATATATATGCTCAGCAGAAACTACCACCATTTCTAATGAATTATGAGCTCTATGCTAATCTGGCTTTCTCTAATCTCTTGTGAGCACTGGGTTGATGAATTCTTTTATGAATGAATTCAGTTCTTGCAAATAAAATCACAAAACAATCAGGCTAATGGTACAGGCATTATAATTTGGATACATGTTACAAATCCCATACCTTCTAAACAAAAATTTGAACATCAAAACACCCTCTTGGAAATGGAGATTGCTTCTACTTAAAATTTAAGTTGAAGGGCAACCAGCCAATGTTGTTTGAAATGCTAATGCACTAAATGAATACAGATACCATTCAAACAAATTCTAATGACCAAAAAGTTTCCAATAAATTATGTAAGGTTGCAGTTTAAAACAAATTGCATCAACTCGTCGATAATATAACCCCTATGACTCTGCTCAGATTGTTGTTGTACATGAATTGGCCTAAATTGTTCCAACTTAGCTATTCCCAAGCCCGGATAAAGAACAAAGGTTGAGACAGTTCCTAGTGAAACGGATTACATTCTCAACTATATTGGTACACAAGCCGTGTTGAGTTGAGTTGGGTTGCCAAGATTTTCATTAATGTGAAGATGAAGACGAAACTTTTTTTTGTATAGTACACTGGCATCCACATCCCTCCTGTAGGACAGACTAATCTAGACCAGTCTAAGATGAACCCCGTCCAGGGAAACAGGTATTGCTCGAATGATGCTAAAACAACAATACATCAACCGAGGACACCACACCACACACATTCCCATTATAAGAATACCAAAAATGATATCACTAGCAAACCCTTTTGTATTAAGTGCTTAAGCCAAACATTAAGCACCCCAAGGAATCAATGATTTCATCTCATATCTTACTTCAGTTGATCTTGATTACATGCCCAACACCACCCAGTAAAACTATTCATAGCATTTAATCAGCTCAGCTTAATACTAAAGTTTTAACCTTTTTTTTTAATGCTACTGACTCTATTACATTGAGCATCTTCAAAAAGTTTTAACCTTTTATTTGACCTTTTACTGCATACCAAAATTTCCAGAACAGGGCAACACTGGTAAAAATAAAATGTAAACTACAGAGTAAAGCAATGGAACAATTCTGTAATAAACAAGTACCTTCCCCGATTTCTCTGCCTCAGCTTTGGCTTTCTCTTCTTCTTTCTTCTTCTTCTCCAGCCTCTCCTTCTCCATTTTCTTTTCCCATGACATTATTCAAAAAAAAATCAAAAAAAAAAAAAAAAGAAAGTCAACACGCAGATTAGATATTTAGATGTGCATATACATACAAACGCTCGAACGCACAAATACTTGCGTATACGTATTACGCACAAGTCAATATAGATTTACATATGGGTAGAAGTTCGTAGAAAAGAGATTACTTTAATATAGACTGTCTCTTTGGCACGCTCTTCCTCGCTGAGGACCCGACCCGATCCATCACTGAAGCAACGGAGACTCATGGCCGATGATCGGCCGACCGGAGAGCTACCGTCCGTTAAACGACGGAGTCCAGTGAGTGAAACGACAGACCGCAGAGCCATATTTTCTCCTGAACGATGATGACAAGTCAACAAAACCCTAGAGTGGACTAGAGGGCCCAAACGTATGTATGTGTATATATATATATATAGGGGTCAAAGACATAAATATGTACGGAGTATAATTTTGGAATGAATGACAAAAATGTGAAGGTTTTAAAAAGTGTACAATTTTAGAAAAAATTCATTTGATACTTCACAATAAACGCAAGTCCTAAATGAGTTTCTTGAAATTTTTGAAAATATTTTTTTTATGGTTGGTCAACGTGAAACACAAGTGCCACTTGTGTTTCTCCCATTTGATTACTCAAGTCCCGTTTGGTCGATTTTTCGTCCATCGGGAGATACCGGGAAGTCCGATTGACAGTCTTGAAAGAACTGGAGAAATAATCCATGTTTAATCCGGCGAGGACCTCGCAATCCTTGAGAGCTCGAATGGCGGTGGTAGTTAACGACTGGAATTGCGAAGGTACTTCTGGATCAACGAAAGAAACTTGTGCGTAACGGATAACACTACAAGAAAAATCGCGAATCGCGTTTCGCGACGGAATTTATTTCGTCGTCTATCACCTTGTCGTATTTTGATAGACGACGGAATAATTTCGTCGTCACTTTTGGCGACGAACTTCGCGACGGAATATTTTCGTCGTCATTTGGCGACGGAAGTATTCCGTCGTCCATTTTGCAACGGAATTGTTTTCGTCGCAAATCCGTCGTTATTTCTTAACCGAATATTCTGTCGCCATATTATCTTTTTCGTCGCCCATTTCGCAACGAAAATGTTTTCCGTCGTAATTCTGTCGCATCATTTGCAACAAATATTCTATCGCGATTCCGTCGCGTTTTTGAATTATTTTAAAATAAAATTGTGATTTTAAATAGTAATGAATGTTTTTAAAATAAAAGATAACATAATTCTAAATGAAGTTAAAATAATAATAATAATACATTACCAATCCACATTTCATACATAATATAATCGTCAATTCAACTCTAAACAACATAATACTACATTATCAATCCACACTTAATACATAATAATATTTAATTCAAGTCTAAACAACATTAACAAACAACTGTTAAAATCAATTGATTTGGCATGGAGGTGATGATGAAGTACCCGCTCTCCCGCCCTCAATAGCATCAAGTCGTTGTTGCATAAGGAGAATAGTGTCTTTCAAACTCTGAATTTCATGTTGTACATTTGCAGAACTAGGAGTAGCATTGCCGGGTGGTCGCGATATTAGTGTCATATTGCCAGAAGTGTTATCATTAGTTGGACCATGAACAAAAGAACAACCATATGAACCAAGTCCATAAACTCTTCTTTTCTTATCGTGTCCACCAACTGTGTCATAGTATAATTGATTATCATCCACCTGCTCCCCATTTTCCGCCAACCCCTCCCGTTGCGATTCCACTTGTTCCTAAAATATGTAAGAGATTTAGTACACAAAATATATGTAAAGGCATATATATTTTAAAAAATTAAAACAAATTAAACTTACATGAATTTGTTTGGCTTTTTCAGCTATGAATGTTTGCCCATCGTGTTTGTTTGGTATGTGTATGCCTAAACAGTTCATAATACGATGGACAATGACTCAATTGCCCTTCCTACAAATTATATTTAACAAACAAAAACAATTATTAAAGTAAGAAAAAATTCGGCAGAGTTTCCTTATTTCTGGTGGGACATATGAAGGTCTTGGCTTTTTTCTTATTGTGCTTATGTAATCAACATATCTTCTTTTAGCCTTTATCTCCCAAACATTATACACTACAGCAGTTTTTGTAGCATCCCACTCAAAAAATTTCTACAAAACACAATGTAAATATAAGCTATCAGAATTTCCATCTGATACATCAAGACCAGTACTGTAACATGGAAAATCAATATCATAATGCCATCATTACAATACAAAGTTAACTTTCTTTATAAAATTCTAACATTCCCTGACGAAGAAAATGAAAGGAAAAGTTCGGTGAAAAAAAAAAAAGGCAAAGGAAAAAGTGGATGCAGTCTAGTGTTTTTTCAGATAAAGAGTCAAGTGGAACATCAAAAGAAGGCTTTAAAAAGAAAGGGTCTTCATATATGGATGAACAAAGCAAGATGGATAACTTCTTCAAGTCTAATACAAAATAAACTTTCAATTGACAGATACTCTTAAGTATTATCTACGTGATGACATTCATCATCTATGCAATACGTTTTCATTCGTTTTGGAACACTCCCATAATGGGAAAACAGGCACAAATATATCACTCATTATCCAGGCTTTACAACACTGTAGTGGATGCACTTTAAGTAGAAATAGTCTCTTACAGTATAAACATTAACATTAATGAAAACAGAGTAACTAAGAAGTACAAACACTCAAGCCTATTCCATAAAAACGCTCAAAAAATGACAGAAAATCTGAAATTTTGTTGTATTGTATAGCTATGGCCACATTAAACGCCCAATTCACTTTAGAATTAAAATACAATGCATGAGATTAAATATTACCTTGAATTCTTCCCAATAAAATTGAACTGTCTCAACACTAAGTTGTCCCCATGCATAACCATTGGGATCTATTCGTTATTTGAACAACTTAGTAAGGGTCTTGATGCTACTGTGGGAATCAATGCCGATGCTGATGATTATGTGTGATTTCCATTACGTGGTAGAACATTTATTGGCAAAAGTCTAGCTGCAAAACAACCTCCACGTCCTCTTGGCATCTTTCCTACAAAAATATGAAAAATGTAATGTATATTAGTGTTTCATATAATATATATTTATTAAGCATTACTTTTGAATTACCTACATAAACTCTAATTTTCATAATCATCGCCGTCGTCGTCATCATCATCATAACAATCATTATCTTCATCTTCATTAGTTGACGAACTAGAGTCAAATTCAAACTCATCATTTTCCTCTTCATTGTTATCTGAATTGTAAGGAATGTCGATATATTCGACATTTTCATCACTTAACATAACGAAAGAATCATCATCCACAGTACTTGCAATTTCAGTTTCTTCAACTTCTTTTTCTTGAAAAGCAGTATCTTTTGATTGGCCATTTTCCTTTTTGAAAGATTCTGTCCATCCCCGAGGTTGAACTTTACACACAACTAACCAATCAACTTTATCTCGTCTCATACTAGGGTACGGAACAAAACAAACTTGAATAGCTTGCACTGCTAAAATAAATGGCTCAAATTTGTTAAACCTTCTTTGTTTATTTATTCCAACCAAATTATATTGGTTATGAACCTTAACTCCAACATTAGGTGTGGGGTCATACCATTCACATTTGAACAAGACCGGGCGTTTAATTGACAAGGCAGTATACTCAATTTCTAATATTTCCATCAACTTGCCATAGTAATCATCACATGTGCTACTTACACAAACACTACTATTCATTGTTGATTTATTCTCACCATGTGACTCTGTGTGAAATCTGTACCCGTTTACAAAATACACAGAATACGATTTCACAGTTCTCAGTGGCCTTTTTGACAAATCACATATATACATGTTCTCTATTTCATTTTGGCGTGCATGTGCCATTGAAAAAGTTATATATAAGAGTTAGGTTTTAAGTAATTTAGAACCAAGAGAAGTAGTTGACTACAAGACTTACATAATTTTCAAACCAAGAACCAAAATTTTGTTGTAGTTGTATTGTAAGTTCTAACTCACTTATCCTGGGATCAAGTTCCTTCAACATCTATTCATATAAACTGTAAATTTATATAACACTATTATAAACTCACGAATGATTCAACTATCATTAATTAATTGATTGATGTGGAACTTACGCAATGTAAGGTTGTACTTCCTCACAATTAAGCAATATATAAGTATGTGCTGCCAAATACTCTGCATCAGTTAGTCTTCTTGTCTTACATCTTTGATCTTCCATATAAGCGACCAGGATATTTAAATATGGACAAATTTTCTTCGTCCTCCTCAGGAACTCCTCCATCATCATTTCGAGGTACTTTTCGACTACGTGTATAAACGTGTGGCTCGAAATAATGAGAACAAAATATAGAGGCTTCACGCACTAAGTATGCATTGCAAATTGACCCTTCCACTTTAGCCTTGTTTTTCACATCTTTTTCAACTCATGGAGCAATCTAAATTGAAAAAAAAAAAAGAATAAAACTTATTCAAATATTATATACAATTGCATCTAACATCATTAATATTTTAAAGAAAAATTAATTATAGAAGTTACCTTTCAAACTCATACAACCAACGATATTGAACAGGCCCAGCAATCCTAGCTTCATATGGCAAATGTATTGGCAAATGGTCCATTGAGTCAAAAAATCCCGGAACAAATATGCTCTCCAATTTACAGAGAATTTTTGAGATTTCATCTTCTAATTTTGTCATTTCTTCAACTTTAATGAATCTTGCAGTTAAGTTTTTAAAGAAAATGCTTAATTCAGTTATTGCTTCCCAAACCTTGCTTGGCAACGTCTCTCGAAATGCAATTGGCATTAACCTTTGCATGAAAACATGGAAATCATGACTTTTTATTCCAAATAGTATGTATTTGCTCATATCTATACACCTTCCCATATTTGAGACATAACCATCCGGGAATTTCAGATTTTTCACCCATTCACATAACACTTGTTTCTGCTTATTGTCTAATGAATAACAAGCTTTTGGGTATTTACCTGTGGCATGGTTCTTTTCTAACTCTTTTCTGTTACAAAAGTGTTTTAAATCTTCTCTTGCTTTCGCATTGTCTTTTGTTTTACCTTGAATCACCATTACTGTATTGAAAACATTCTCAAAAACATTTTTCTCGATGTGCATGACATCAAGATTATGTCGAATGAGATTTGATTCCCAATATGATAAATCCCAAAAAATACTTCGTTTTCTTCATCCACAACTACGACTGCATGATTTATTCATCTTCTCTGCATTAGCATTGTAACTTTTAATAGTCCAAATTCTTCGATTTCCCTTAAAATTTATGTGTCATTCTTAATCGGTGGAGGATGACCTATTTTCACACGATTTTTCGTGAATATTCTTTTGTTCA